ASMARSMAWTKKTTTTTTTGAGAAGAAAGCCAAAGGAGGCTTATATACAGTACACCAGAGYATAAAAACCTCTTCTTCTTTGGTTTTGTTGGCGGTTAGCAGACTCAKTAAAGTGCATTACTGCCACCACTAGACTGGAAGGTGCTTGGTGGATATTGCCATATTTCTGGCTTTTAATTCAAAATGTGTTATTTCTGTACCTTCAGCTATTTTCTACTGGAAGAACCTTGTCCCTGATTGACAGTGCAAAACATGTGTGGATGTTTCATCAGAAACTTTTGATAAATAACAAAATATGTTTCTTTTAAACTGTTACACAGAATTTATCCTACTAATCAGTACATGAAGAAATGAATCAGCCAGTTTGGATGTTATCAGTCCATTAAATGGTTGTTATTAGTGGTTATCAGTCCCATAAAATGGCTTCAGACTGTCCCGACAGTGCCCCCTAGTGGRTTACCAGTGCCATAWATGCTGGAATGCAACAATCTGCYACCGCYAGAGTCTGGTCTACTTTATCGTAGCCCATGTCATTTTTCTCTAAAATTAACCTTAGTGGCTTTATGCCTCATATTAACTAGCTGACAATCTGAATCCATTCTATGGGACTGATAATGKCTAATAACGTCCATTTAATGGATGATAACATCCGAAGTGGGTGAATATATTAAAACAGTAATCTCCAACTGTAATTTTAGCAAAGAGCATCCCATCCAGAAACAATCAGTCATTTATTCTGGGATTGTCATCAAAAAGACATTTTAGAATGAATGTAAAAATGTTATCATTTATAATATTGACACTAAATTTTCATTATTTAACAAACAAATTATTTTTGGTTTTCATGGAAAGAAACAGAAGACTAGCAATTATTCTAATTATAATATTTGGCAAATTCCATATTTATAAATGTACATTTTCATCATTTTCACCTTTTTTGTTTTATCAACTATATGTAAAAGTACAAACAAAAAGAGCTGTAAACATAAAATTGTCGTGGCTCATTGAATATATTGATTTATGTTTTTTTTACTAAATGTATTTAACGTAGAAACCCTGGCGTAGAAACCTTTCATTGAGACGTTCCTCAAGTCTCATGCGATGGTAACCTTTGACCTCCCTTGTTCACAGTTCATGGTGCTGAGCTGCGTCGTTGCAATGGTTACCTGTGCATTGTTCCTACGGCTGAGCTGCATGCTCCAGCTGACATTCCTGCTGCTGGCTTCCATCTCCTACACTTACGTCATCGAGACGCACAGGTACAAATACGTTCAGGTGTTGTGGGGTCCGAGCACTGCACTTAGGTGGTCTAGGATGGKTCTTTAGAGTGCCACCTGCCTCACGTGTGTTTTCCTTTTCCTCTKCGGGTCTGATGTGGGGTCAGCTCTCATCACCTGTGCAGGCGGGGGGTCTGTATGCTTCTCATGGTGATGTTCGTGGTGGCAGTTCTCTACAACAGCAGACAGGTGACGRCCTAGAAACGGACTCGTGTCTCTTYATTTATGACGTTTGAGCTCATCACTGCCTCTGCTTCTTCTTCGTTGGTAGCTGGATGCGATGGCTCGGCTGGACTTCCTGTGGCGCCTGCAGGCAAGGAAGGAGGTGGAGGACATGAAGGAGCAGAGGGAACACAATGAGTGTCTGCTGCTCAACATCTTGCCAACTCATGTGGCGCAGCACTTCCTGGAAAGAGACCCCAATGATGAGGTACCTGACAAACCTGGGCATGTGCACCACACGTATCTCCCATAGTTTCCCAGTTTATTACCAACTTTTAAACTGCTTTAGGTCTGTTAATTGTGTATTTTTTCAGTTTGTATTTGTGTTAGTACCTAAGCATTGGAGACACAGTCTTGTTTTTGTTCTTACATAAACTTTAAAGTAAACATTTTATTATCATCCTTAATGGAAGGCGACCTATGACCTATTATTGTTATTAACTCCTGGTAACCTGGTATTCCCGTGCTGTCTCCCATCTAAGTACTAACCAGGTCCAACCCTGCTTTGCTTCCGAGCTCAAATGGGATCTGGTTGGATTGTGTCTCATATGAGTAAATTAGCAGATGCAGAGTGCCTTCATGGTCATGTAGAATATATAACAATTATAAGAACATGTAAAATATAGGGAGAAGGAAATGCAGATATAAGTGCGGCCGTGGTGGATTGGGTGGGGGAGTCGTCCTGGAACCGGATGGTCACTGGCTCGATCCCTCATCCAGCCATCTCAGTCATTGTGTCCTTGGGCAAGACACTTCACCCACCTTGCCTTCTGATGGTGGTCAGAGGGTCCGGTGGCGCCGTATGGCAGTCCCGCCTCTGTCGGTCTGCCCCAGGGCAGCTGTGGCTACAATGTAGCTTACTATCATCAGTGTGTGAATGAATGATGCATGAAAATTGTAAAGCGTCTTTGAGGGTCTCAAAAAGAGCTATATAAGACTAATGTATTATTATAATCATTTAGCGTCTGCAGTGTGATTTATCAAACCTAAAACTGTCTGCACTCTGCTGTTGTGGTAAAAAACACAACTTGTTCCAAGTTTAGCTCCTGATATAATTATATATTAAGTACTGTACCTTAAAGATTTTCACTGATATTGAGTCAAAAGCTTAGCCAGTCAAGCAATCAGTGTAAAACCTCACACATAATCCAAATGCAGCTTTGAAGAGGTTTAGGTTTAAATTCAGCTTTTCTGCACCACTAGAGACTCCAAGTGCATAACAATTTATAATTTAACAGTTAAAAAAAAGTGGTTTTTGCATGACATGTCCCTTTTAAATGGACCAAAAGTAATTGGACAATTGACTAAAATGCTATTTCATGGGCAGATATGAGCAATTCCTTCATTGTGTCATTGAAGGTGTTGATTTGAGGTGTGGTGCTTGCATTTAGAAGATTTTGCTGTGAAGAAAACGTGGTCAAATGAGCTCTCCATGCAGGTAAAACAAACCATCCATGAGCTGTAAAAACATGAAGAAAAAACTTTTGAGGAATTGTGACAATACTAAGAGTGGAAAAATCTACAGTTTGGTCATCCTGAGAAAGAAAAAGTACTGGTGAACTCAATGCAAAAAACACATGGATGCTCACCAAAGACAACAATGATGGATGATCGCAGAATAATTTCCATGATGAAAAGAAACCCCTTCATAACAGCCAACCAAGTAAACAACACTCTCCAGTAGGTTTGTAGGTGTATTAATATCAAAATCTACCATAAAGAGAAGACTGCATGAACATAAATACAGAGAGTTCACTGCATGGTGCAAGCCACTCATAAGACTGAAGAATAAAAAGTCTAGATCAGGGATAGTCAATCCTGGTCCTCGAGGGTCGCAGCCCTGCATGTTTTACTTGTTGCTCTGCTCCAACACACCTGATTTGAATGAATGGATGATTTTCAGGCTTCTGCAGAACGTGGAAGAGGTAATTCACTGACTGAATCAGGTGTGTTGGCAAAGGGAAAAAAGTACAACATGCAGAGCTGCGGACGTCAAGGACCAGGATTGACTTGGTCTAGATTGAACTTTGCTAAAAAAACATCTAAAAAAAACAGTTCTGAAAGAGCATTCTTTGGACAAATGAAACTGTGAACTAAAACTAAACTAAAATCAACATCTTTCAGAGTAATGGAAAGAGAAAAGTCTGGTGAAGGCGTGGTACAGCTCATGATCCAAAGCACCACATCATCTGTAAAACACAGCAGAGAAGTGATGGTTTGGACATGCATGGCTGCCAGTGGCACTGGGTCACTAGTATTTATTGATGATGTGAAACAGGACAGAAGAAGCCCAATGAATTCTGAGTTATTCAGAGCCAGACTGTGTGCTCAGATCCAGACAAATGCAACCAGACAGATTGGTTAGTGATTCATACTACAGATGGACAATGACACAAAACATAAAGCCAAAGCAACCCAGGAGTTTATTAAAGCAAAGAAGTGGAATATTCTTGAAGTTAGTCACCAGGGGTCAGATTTATAAAGGATTGCGTGGAAACCATACTAAAAGTGAACGTACGACCAAAAGACGGAAATGGCTTACGCCAACAAAAAAATTTCAGATTTATAAAACCGTGCGTACGCATGTTTCTGCGCACCTTTCATTTATAAATCACAGACACAAGTCAGAGTTTGTGCCAAGGTCCCGCCTCAGGTTCTACCCTCTACACGCCCACACTCAACCATAAACAGTCAATGTAAAGTACCTCATGAATGTTAAGATGTATTTAAATCAGTCAGCTGATCAGTGTCAAAAAAAGCGATTGGTTCAAACACGCTCCATCGTGTGTCTGGACGATGACAGGTGCTGACAACTGCTCACGTGAACAGAATGTCTGTAAWTGAACACAGATTTTCCCTCATTTTGCAGGTTTACAGATGTTTAGAGCAATCTCATAATTTTTTATCAAAAACTCAGCTTCTAATTAATTTTCTCTCAGAACCCACAGGACGAAAAAAAATAAAATTAAATGAGTCAGATAAGTTTAAGTTCACTGCTCTTCTCCCCCGTGACAACAAATAACAGGTGTACATTATAATAATTATAACTTTGCTAAAATATATACATACATACACATACTACCCATACATACATATACAGATAGACGTACACACATGCATACATATATACATATCCACATCTATACTTACATACACACTCCATGACCGTCAGAAACCCCAGAATCTGAATACCAGCTTGTGTGCGGCTGTGAACATGCATGTAAATACAAGATTTATCCAATGGATTATTTAATAGTGACTGTGGAGACCCAAAGACCCAACCCCCAAGACCTGAAGCAGACATGAGGGAGACCAGCGCCAAAAATCCTGAGAGTGACCCCAAATGTGGAGCCCCCCGGGGCACCAGCACAGAAAGAGCCGCAAACCTGCCCCCCGAGAGCGGACCATAGCAGAGATCCAGGAG